GAGGGGCAAACAATTGAATTACTGCAATCTTTGCAGCCTTGCAGTGTGTTTGTGTTGTTTTAGTCATCACAAAGGCAAAGTTCAGGCTGTTAACTGAATTTTTTATTTTGTATGTAGGGCTTGGTGGTCTTTACTCTGTATGAAGCACTATCCCATCATATGCTTGGTCATTGCCAATAATACTCTAGAGAAACCCCAAAGTGTGCAGAGACAGTGGAGTCACTACTTTGTTTTGCCTTGTTACAGTTGGATCTTCCTGCTATCTCAGTAAATTTAAAAAAGAGTTGAGTTGCCTTTTGACCACAATACGAATGACAGTTTTAAGGTAAATAAATAGCTTTCCCTTAGCTGAAATGATAATATCATCCAGTGCCTCCAAAACACCCATAAAAGCACTAAAGTACCTGCATATGCCTGGAAGCAGATGCCTGGCTAATGTTTCGTGCTTGTTAGAAAGTGTATGTGTTACTTAACCTGTTGCATGTTTCTCTAAGACTGGAAAAATACAAACTTGAGTAGTACCTCTGCAGCATTTTTAAAAGCAGGTATTATAAACCCAGGCTGTGTCCTCGTACTGCGGGTGTAGGTGTAAGTGTTAGAGGAGCATCAACGCCTGTAAAAACTGCAGTGGTTTCAGTGTAGCAGTGAGTTTCTGCTGGCTTTGGAACGCTGCTATACTGCTGGACTGCTTTAGAGAAATACAGAAATACCTTCCCATTAAGTGAGCAGGGCTGTTGCAGCTGTCTGTGCGTGCAGGAATAACTGGCAGAGTCTGTGTAACTTCTGTGCTGTAACTTTGGGGCAGAGTTTGACAAGCATTTCTTCCTGCAGCAATGCTGCGTCTGATGCTGCCTGCCCTGCTGTTCTCGCTGGGGCTACTAGAACTGTGCACATGGCACTTGAGTGGCTTAGGTCAGAAAACTTGACTCAGGTGAAAAATAACCCAGGGTGAAACTTTTTTCCTTTTTTTCTTAGTACTGGTCTACTCTCTAGTGTGGGATGTTGCATAGAAGGAACAGAAACAAGAATGTGAGTTAGGCTGGCACTGCCTCTGAAAGAACCAGTTGTTGAACTAGAGCCCTGAAAACACATGGAGTAACATTCCCTCAAGTAATAAAAATGGTGTTCTTTTTTTGAATTTAATTTCCCATAATCTTTGGGATCGTCTGGAGTGAACTGCAGTCGGCCCACCTCCTGCTTTACTCAACACTGGGAAGTCACTTGCGGACAGTGATGGTGTGAGGTGTAAAATAGGGATGAGTGACTATAAACGTTATCCACGCACTGAAGTCACATCGTGCTGGAACTCTCGTCTCCTAAAACCTCACCTAGATCTTGACGAGGTGGCTTGGGATTTTGGCACCCCACGTGTGTGAAGCAGATGAAGGAAGGGAAGTCATATATCTGAATGATCTAACTATTTAAACAGATTTTATGGAAGAAAGCACATAACTTCATCTTTATTTCATGAAAACGCACCTGACTGAAATGTATACTCAGTGTAGTTGCTCTTTCTGTAGCTTGAGTTTCATGTGATCCTTCTGTGTGATACCCTAGAAAATACTACTATATTACTTTATAACAGGTACCAGGGTGGTTGAGCTTGTGCCCTTTACAATGGTTTTGGTGGGCCTGCTGCCTTTCCTGCTGTGACCCTGAAGGGACGGGGTTGTTAGGACAGTGTATTTGCTTAGACAGATGTGTGGGTCCTTATGAGGGGGACAGGAATTGGCTGGAGATGATGGAGGGCAGCTTTTAAGGGCAGCATACGAAGTCCAAGAGATCAGGCTTTCCACTGTGTCTGTGCCTGGCTGTCTGCTTAGGCTGGTACCCCCACATGTACAAGGATACCCCACAAATACTGGAGGGACAGCAGTATCAGTCCTCACAGCCAAAGGAGGCATTTCTAAAAGCAGGTATCCACCTCATCCTAGGCAAAAGATTGAATTATTCATAGGTATGAAGCCTGCAGCTGTGTGTCATGTTCATTTTTGCACTGAGTTGAAGCTCTCTTGACCTATGTTCAGTGTAATTAAAAGCAAATCCTTCAAATCCAAGAATTGTTTGGAAAGGATTCGGTAATGCCAGAGCCATGTGTATAGACATGTTCTCATGCCTGCCCTAATTGTATGGATTTGGTTGTAGGAGCTGCTGGAGTCCGGCACTTCCATTGATTTGTCACAGTCTACAAATCCCGGAGTTTCTTAATGCCATGAGGAGTAGAAATGACTTAAAGAAAATAATTGTGTGTATTTACTCTGAATGCATTATGCACAATTTTATTACATTTATATTAAAATAAGCTGAGATGCATTTTGCTTTATTTACAGTATTTTCAGGCTGTTTTCCTTTTGCCTAAACGAAACCCTTTTGATGCTCTTGCTTGTCTGGCTGGCTGTAAACCAGGTATTTAAACAAAAATAAAGAGTTGCCAGTTTTGCCAGCTGGGGATGAGAACCCGGCTGGTGATATGTGGGTTC